TGTCTATACGCAGACTGACAAGCATCAGCACTTTCTGACCATGTAACACGCTGACTGGCCTTGAGACTGGGATGCTTTGGCACTTACAGAACTGCTCATCTAGCTCAGCAAGTAGAGAGGCAGGCATTTCGGTCCCTGCCGACTTCCATGGGGAAATGGTACGCTTTCAGCTTTTTAGACATAACACATTTAAGGGCAAACATTCAGCCAGAACCCAGAATCTCTCACCAGGGACAAACAGCAGTTTGAGGGATGAAATGTATCAGCACTCCTGTTCTCCTGAGGCCATCTTTTCTTCATCACAGGCAGATTTTACTCCTCATTACTCACCCCATTGTGTTGAAGTCATCGTCAGGAGGCACATAGTCTTCATCATCACTGGTCAGACCCAGCTCGTTCCCATAACACTGGTGGACAAAGTGCCAGAGCTCCTTTGGACAGAGAGGCTAAAAGAGGGAACAGAGAACAGCATACATTTTCACCCGAGAATATTAAAATATAACGAAAATATTTTTGGAACTATCATTGCCAGGAGTATTACATTCCTTGCCCTGAAAGTAGAAGTGAGAGATTCTGACACAGCCCTGATGGAAGGTGACAGCCTTCTGATGGACTCATCTCTTCTGAATTCCAGTGATGCTACAAGGTGGACTGTGTGTTACTGGCAGGCTGGCCCCCATGCTGGCTAAGGGCTGCAGGTATATGGATCCTTATACAGTTAGGGCAGGCTGGCTTAGAGGTTGCCCCCACCAAGCAATAAGGTGCCCTTTTGCCAAGTAAGCCTTCACCGTCAGCCCAAGTTCCGCCCTAAAATCCGACTTTGTTATTTTTCCATGCCACAATCTCATATTACTCAGGCCTATCAGAAAGCCAACACGAGGCTACACCCAGAACAGCACACAAAATGACATCTCCCGCTACTACAATGCTGTGCATATAAGAATGCAAGCAGTAAACCTGCACTTCCCTCCACACAGGTTTTCCCTACCTCTTCTGCTGTGCCTCCATTTAATGTCTCCTACCACACCAAACCGCAACGCCTTATGAGGTTATTTTCCCTCCAAGTTTGTTTAAACTAAAGCTGCCTAAAGAATTACAGCTGCAGTGAAAATGATCTAAAACAGCAACAAAGAAAAACATTTCCTGCTGCATTTAAAATCAAAGAGTCTGTCTCCCCAGATACTATTGTGAAAAGCTTGTATACGCTTCCAGTTAAAAAGAGAAAATGAATTCTCAAGACCGATCACAAAAGCCCTGTTTTTTAGGGATGCAGGTCAGTTGATCACCATATGACTGCGTTCTGAGGTTCTTAAGAAATGGGGCAGGAGAACTTGTGATTTAAAAACGTGGTACAGGGGATGAAAGGGGATGGATTTTCACCCATGAGAAAGTTACGACCAATGACAAAGATGTCTTGGTAATGAGGAAAAATAAATCTCGTGATTTTTTTCTAAGTTGCTGGCTTGAACTTCTTCCCATAGTTACTGCATGGGATAAGGTAGGAAATTTTTAATCCAGCTCCCAAAGGTAGCAGTCAAAAGTATGGGAAAAAAACTCTAATGAGAAACTTTTATCCAGAAAAATGTCTCTGTTCCACCTTCTTCCCACATGCACTCTAATTCAGATGTATTATCAGGAAAAATGGGCTAGGCTCTTTCTCCCTCTCTCCTGCCAGGCATGGATCCTACATTTGGAAAAAGAGCTCTGGAAGTGTTTGCTGCCTTTATCACTCCACGTCTCTGTTCCTGTTTGCTTTGACCTTGAAACCAAGGGCACTGAATTTTGTCAGGAACTTCAAAAGGCTGACCAAATTACACCACACGGTAGCAACACAAACTGCCCAATGCAAAGCGATCCTTTTGCATACTAAATACTACGCCGATTTTCAAGACAGAGTATTCTGGGTGCTTGATTACTCATCCCTCCCAGTACGGTATGAACTCAAGCCAGAACAGCTCGAAACGCTCGTAGCACTGTAAGATCAGTTCATGAGTCTTACTCCTACAGTGAGGCCAGAAATACTCAATGGACTGTGGAACAGATACTCAGATCACATATAGGCTATGTGGGGCCTCTGGCATAGCAGGTGCGCATCCCTGCTTTATTCAAAAATCCAACCCACTGAGCCTTACCCAGTGCACCCCGCACCCACCATTGTTCTCGTTCGGTTTTGGGATGCCCCGAAGACATGCTCTTTTTCTGTCCTGTCTTACACTCTACACTTTTGAAGCACAGACTTACTAGGAGCTTTACCTGTGCAGTCAGCTATTACTGTTGCATTTTGAACTGCTTTCTTCTGGGCTGTTTCACTTGAATTACAGACCTCAAAAAGACTCCTTCCCAAGACACATGCTTCCACACCTCAGCAGAGGCAAAGTGGCATCTACTTTGTGTGCAAGAACATGGCTGTACAAACAGAATTCATGTGAAAAGAGAGAATTGCACCTGCAGTTACGTGCCTGGTCTGCCTAAACACATGTGCTTACTGTCCCTACGTCTTTTTATACATCTACATTTGTCACAGGTATCATGCTTCTGCATATATTCACCACGTCCCTTTCCTCCCACCCCAATGCTGATGTGCTGCTCTGTACCTTGTCAAGTAGAGCATTCTGCCAGAGTCTGAACATCATCATGTACGTCCTGTCTCGAGCCCCAAAGGAAGTAAAAAAGTGCTGAATGGGAAGAGATGGAGAGAAAAATTAGTCCAGAAAAGGCCCAAAACAAGGAAGAAGAAGCAACAAGCCTGTTTGGATCACCTTCCGGCTACAGTTCACAGAAAGCCTGAGCAAGCCTCACAGCACAGCTGCTCAGTCCTTGGGCAGAGACTGAACATCACGGAGGCCTCACAGAGAGGCGCAGAGCCTCTTACCCAAGGGAGCAAGTCTGAGCACACAAACAGTTCTGTTAGAGATGTGCTACCACATAACGCAAATCTTCTACCTGGTCCCGCACCCCACACACAAGCTACACGTGCTCCAGACTCAGCCCAAGGTCTGCAGAAGCTCTGCACCCAGCCCTTTTCCCTTGGTGCTTCCTCCCATGCCCCAGGTAGCACAAGCAGTCAGTTTGGAAAAATCCCGCAAAACACATATATTCCCCAGCCCCTGACAGCCATACGACGCGGCCCCAGAGGCGGAGGCTTCCAGGATGTACCTTTTCAGTGTCAGTGCAAACTTGGATGGCATTAGGAATGAGCCGTGCTGTTTTTTCCTTGGTCATCGAGCAGATATCCTTCAAGCGAACTGTCAGCTACAGTCAGAGCCATGCAGAAAGGGGAAGGCAGAAAAAGAACACAGGTAGAGACACTAATGAGAAAGACAACAGAAAGGGTGCTTTTAAAGTAATGTCAGCAAATATGCTGACATAAAACACATGCTCAACGCAGCAGTGTGACAGCCTTACCAGTGTCTCCCAGCGGAAGATGTTGCTGTAAAAGCAGATCCAGTTTTCAGAGAGGTAGAGGCGGCCCTGCAGGAGAATGTCTCTTTGTAGCGCACATGAGTAATCTGTGGGTGGGCAACAGATGATAATTTAGATACACCAAAACCAGCAGACGGGACAGCCTATAGGTGAGGATTAAGCAGCAGCATCAAGAGGAGTAGCTACTCGACACAATCCTGCAGAAAGCCAAAGGCAGAGAGCCAGAAGCGACTGAGCCACGGCTGCTGCTCTGTCCACTAGGTTAGGACTCCTCTCGTGGGCACGTCACAGACAATCTCTCTCACTGACTGATGACCTTGCCTTATTAGCTGGTCGTTCTTTAGCATCCTATGTACTGTTTCTAGATTTTAATCTGTCTTTTCCTTTTCGCCTCCTAGTGCCATTGTTCATTTCTCTCCCAGTTTAAGCATCCTAAACAATTTCTATTCCTCTGCTAGGACATGCATCCGTCAACAGCACAAGACACGGTATGAGATCACCAGTTACATAAGATAAAAGAACAGATGCAATGCACTAGGCAGTCACTAATCAGCTGCAAGGCCAAAGCATAAATGGATATAGGAAGGGCAGTCATGTGTGAGTAGGAAGCATCGGGGATGTCAGAAAAAAGTGAAGCTCAGTAGTATGCATGTTGAGACATGCGACCCTGGCCAAATGAGGAAAGGGCTCAAACACTAACACACCATCAGGTCTAGGGGGGCTCTGCGGAGGAAAATATCCTCCTCAAATCACTGGAGAACAGAGCCATAGCTGATACAAATCAGCATTGCTCTCCCTGAAGCAAAAGGAATAAACCCTGTTAGAAATGGTGAGGAGGGGTTCCATCTGTGCACAGAAAGACACAATGGGCTTGTTCCTTGGTGGCAATCTCTTTGAAGAAGAAGAAAAAGCTGCATGCACATGTTCTGGATTGCCTCCCCAAACCATGGGCCAGCACAACGGAGCACTGCACCAAGGGGGCGACCTTACCTACGATGAGGCGCTCCGTGTCAGGAAGCTGTTTGAAGAGTTTCCTGAAATCTTCATTCCGTTGCTTGTAAGTTGGACTCAACACCTGCAAATAACAGAGAGCCTGTTAAAGAGAGGGGCAGGCATGAGTACAGAGAAATGGAGTGGGAAAACACGAACACCTTGGTCAGGAGAAGGGGGATCAGCTGCACTTACAAAGCATGAGGCTAGGAGCTCCCATCGCAGCAGACACACAGACAGGAGGATTTGGGATTTAGTGTGTTAAGGGAGAAGAGGAGAATCTGACTTGGAAGAGCAGAGAAGAAGGGCTACACCCAAATCTGCCAGGTAGCAAACCGAAACTGCGCGGAAGCTGTGACTGCAGGGGAAATCTCTTTTCCTGCAACCCCAGACTGTACACGGTACGACACATGCTCTGTTCGCAATGCATCGGTTAGCCGCCAGTCCCCAGCTCTCCCAGGAACAGTGCAGCAACCCCAGAAAATAGGCACTTTAGTACAGCTGCAACCCTGCCAGAGGAACTTTCACGATCACTGTCATCCAGAGCTCAGGAATAACGCAGTCATCCCCATTCCTCTCCCTGTCAAGTGCTCCACCTGGCAGTGAACACACAGCTACCCGCTGGGATAGTGAGAACACTTTTGTGGGGCTCAGAAGAGGCTCTCGCAGGGACTCAACCACGTTTTGCGCTTATTCTGGAGACACTTGGCCTCACGGAAGGCCTCAGAGAAAACGGTGTTGTTGGCTGGAGGGGGACCAGGAGCTGGCTTCTCTCTGGTGTTTACTAAACTATAACGTGACTCTGTCAACATTAGACCACCTCCTACATGCCATGCCCATGCTGACAGCTGCTCTTAATAGCCAGAACATCTTTCGAAGGCAGAGTTGACCAAAACAGAGGCAGCTGCAAATTGAGGAGGCCCGTAACTCCCATCGAATCTTCTTGTTCTTCCTCCCACAAGTGCAGGGGAGGCGAAACAACCTGGGGTACAGCCTCTTCCCTCCCTATCTCCATTTCCTCTCAACCACCCTCTCCTATCTCTTCCAGCTGCGCAATACACATGTCCCAACAGTGGGCACACCTCAGAGTATCCCAGCACACACCTCAGAGTATCCCAGCAAGGGCCCCAAAAATCAAAGTGATTATAGAAGGTAGCTTCTGTTTGAGAAGTGGTGTTGGTGAGGTCGCAGGGGTGAGAAGAATATGAAGGTTATCTAGCATTAGCCTTACAAAATTGTCACATGCTCTCAAATCAAAGAAGGAAACACAGACACCACCACCACCCCAAAAGCATTCCCTCTTCCTCACACCAATTCAATGAACTAGAAACAGAATTTTTAATATCAGCTCAGCACTTCACTTATTTGCTCCAGTCCTGTGAGCCCAAAGTGTCACACTTCTGAATAAAATCTGCTAACTAGCAGATGACAGAAATATGAATTTTACTTACCAAACTTCTAGTCTGAACATCTGGACAATATCTTGGCCAGAGATGGGCTCCAGCAAGAGCCCAAGCCCAAGATTTCCTGGGGCAAGCAGACGGGATGGGAAAGGAGAGGGGAATAGAGATTATCATCAGCTCTGAGCTTTGGATTCAATGCATTACAGCAACCCAACCTGGCAGTACAGTTTCCACGTGGAGGGGCGCTCCCCTCCCTTCCCTGCAGTAAGGGATGTTCTGACCTGTCTAAAACCTGTACTACAACAGATGCTTCCGCTTAGCATCAGAACTTCTGTTAGGGTGACAAACAGTTGAGTTTAGAGACACTCACAGCTGGAATTTCATCTGATCCACAGCTGATATTTTCTTCCGACAAGTCGACAAGCCCCTCCAGGTCCCACAGCAGACATGGCAGATCTTGATCCAGCACAAGCTCCCAGAGAGCCCCGCACTCCAGCAAGGAATCCATAGCGTTCCCTCAGCACTTGCACAGCTCCCCGTGTTCTCAGTCAAACTCTGATTTCCTGTTCCTGCTGTCACCGCTTCTTGTTTAGATTCAAAGTCGAAAGAGATACAGCAGCTTGGCAGGAGTTTACGTGCCTTCCCTTACTTTCCTGCTTGCATTCAGGTTGTCTGCCCTAGCGGTCTCTGTACATCTGAGAGAGGATTTGCCCTCCAGAGGTCTTTGAAAAAGCGGCACATTAGGGTAAGCCTGCTGGTGCGCAACCTTTGTGCTCTTCTGCTCGTGTCTCACCAGCTTCTTGCTGTGGGCATCCCTTAAAGGAGCACTGCAAAAATGCCGACAGCCTGAGCAGTCCCAGGCAGGTCTGTGCAAGGCATCTGCAACTCCCGGTCGAGGTCTGATGCCCAGGACTGCCAGAACTAGCAAACAAAGTATCTCCGACCGCCAGGACCCCACCAGACCAGCTGCAATTCACAGATCTAGCCGCGGTTTCCAGGACTGGACAGGACGGTAAACAGCTCAGAGACTTCAGCTGCTTTTTTTCCCCTCTGAAACCAGAAAAGCAGCTATTCTTCTTCCTTCAGTGCCTGCCTCAGGCTCTCCTCTCTAGTCCCTCTCTGCTCTGAAAGGCAGCTTCAGTCTTTGTTAACATTTCTCATGGAAGGAGCGGGTAGGGAAGATACGAAAATGACTCGCACATGCTTTAAGTTACTGTAGCTGGGTAATTCTGTCGGCCAATGCCCTGCAGTAACCCAGGCTCAGCCCTGCCTCCCAGCAGATGTTTCCTGTAATGGAAAGTTGCTGGACAGAGCGTGCTGGGGGAGGCGCAAGGGGAGTAAGGAGAGACCACTCTGAAGAATATAGCTATGAGAAACCAGCCATGTGAGACCCACACAACTACAAATCTTAAGGGCTCTGCTACTCTTACACATATCTCTGAGCACCCCCAAAAAGCATAGGTCTTTGTAGGTTTCGTTCATTAATCACATCACTTCGGAAATGAAGGGCAAGGGCTTCCTTCAGGCTCCAGCACATAAACTCCCTGCAGGTCCCAGGAAGATTGCTTGGAGCAGTGGAACTCCCTGTATCCCTCTGCTCCTAGTCCCTAGCCTCTCCATCTCTCCGCTCAAGTGTCAAAATGCACAGGTAAACGTCCACACCACAACACCAGTGCTGCTCAGCCGTGATGCTGAGTCTGTAGAAACTAGACACAAGTATGCTGAAGTAAAATCCTCATTATTCCTAACAAACTGGGCAGACAGATCTCAAGAAACCAAAACCAGGAAAACTCCAATCAAGCAACCAACCGAACCTCTGTAAAGTCACTGTTTATTCCAGGGCCAGTGACTGCAGTTTGCTCACTTAAAGGAAGAACTGTCAAGCGCTCTGTCTTCTCAGATGCACCACAGAAGGATTGCTGGTGCTAGACAGCACAACGGTCTCTCCATTTAGCCCTGTTAGAAAGCAGCAGTACATCCATCTGCTACCCCAAGATGAGAGGACAATAACTAAAACTTCTATAGCCTTGGAACGACAAAGAATTAGGGTTACAGACATCTGTGAGGTACCTGCATTGCTTTACTGAATGGCCCTCTTTGCTGGAAATTGCTTATGTGATTACTTCCAAAAAAAAAAAAACACCACACCACCAGGATGCTTCTGTCTACACAGCCACCCCACCTCCCTTTGCAGAGAGTCAGAGAATGGCACAAGCCATTGGAAGAGCTAACCCGGAGGTGGAGACAGCAAACATTAACTCTACTGCAAACAGAGAGAGACGGGACAGGATGGCACTGCAAAGGGTGGAGAGAAGAGGCTCCATGAGGACACTGGGGAGAAACGGGAGACACGGGAGACTCCCCATGGCAGGATCTCCCTGTTCATACACAAATGAGTCCTCTGAGAGGAAATTTAAAGCAACTGTTGCTGCGGAATGGGACAGGACAGGGAAGTCCAACAACACAAGAACTGAGAGCGGTATAGCCTCGTACAGCAAACAGCACAGAAAACAGGTGAGGAGTGATGGCAAGAGGCAGAGAGAAAAGGGGGAAGGAAAATCTTACTGGATTTGCATGACTGATGGACTTACTCTCTTTAGGGAAGATTTACTTTGTTTCTAGACAGAACAGGAAAAATACTGGAAAAGTACAGAGTACGTTCCCTGCTTGTGTGGGAGAGTTTAGACCCCACTGACAGCAGGACTGCTATGCTGATTGATGCCAGCAAAGAAACTGGCCACCTGTCCCACAGCATTTCTTCCAACCCCGGTCTGGTCTCTCGGGTTTTATGGCTTCTTTCCCCCCCACCCCCGCTCCTTTTAAAAGTGAATGAACAGCAAAGGAAGAAGCTTCAAAGTAACCACTGGCCATTTGGGGTGGGGAAAGTGGATTTGGGTTCATCATCACATGAGCTGACACCAAAAGCTCATTTTTAATTTAGTGTCTCTACACCACAGTAACTATGCCAGGCCTGGTAATCCATACACCTAAAATCATTGAAAATCTGAAGAGAACTGCCTATGAAAAATACCTGGAAGGTAATGAGTTAACATTGCTCCGTAAATATTCTGACAAAACGGTTACTGGAACTTAAAAGATGATTGCACTGATTTACAGAGAAAAAGGCTGTTTGTTCAATACCATGCTAACTCATCATCAGGCCTGGATTTTTGCAATAAACCCCGTCTACATGATTGCTGTTGCTGAGTGAGACTCAGGCTGCCACCCGTTGGAAAGCTGTTTCTGATGTTTTCCCTGAAATGATGCATATTTTCTCTCTGATTTTATAGGGAACATTTTACTCTCTTCAGCAGCTGAGTTTCCCCGTATCTACGAAGTCTCCAAGAGGGTACTGCAAGAGAAAAAGCACACCAAGACCAGCAAAGGCTGATTTCTTATGGTGTTCAGTCTTGACGTTGTACTTCAGAAGCGGCAAGCGTTGCTCAAAGGTCTCCACAAAGGAAGGCCCTTCGCAGCATCACAGTCTACGACGGATTCTCAGTCACCTCCTATCTCCTAGTGCACAGGCTTTTGCCTCAGTTTTCCCAAAGGAAAACCTAGGGCTCTCTCCTTTACGTGACTACCTACTTGCATTTAACTGGATTTATTTTTGAGATTGTCACCTCTTGCAAGCCAGGCTGAAAGTTGCCCTGTGTGCACGGCCTTTGTTTGCAGAACTGCAGGTGCAAGGCGCCTGTCCCACGCCGTGCAATGCTCAGTGCAGACTTTGCTCTCCCAAAGACAAGGGGGCAGAACTGCGCTCCTGTTAGTCATCTCAGACTTATAAGGACAGCAAATGTTTCTAGCGGTATTTAAAAACACCTGAAAGAGATAATTAGTGTCTTTTCACTGTACTGTGTTTTTTTCCCCACTAACCACTCTGGGGTTATCCTGCACATAGGTAGAGAGGGGGTGGTTCAGGTAAGTTATAGGGTGAAGCTGTAAGAGAAAAAAATTCAAGCATGGTTGCAAAATACAAGGCAGATGAAAGGAATGTGCATAAACTCGAAGGAAAGGAGTAGAGAGTAGGGCAGACCTTGGGATCTGAATAGTAAAATGAAAACCTCGTGGACAGATATAAATCTCACCTCTTCTCTGGTGTCAACTGTGTTTGTTCTAACTTTTCAAGATCATCTTATTCTTTTTTCTGGAAGTATGCTCTGTAGATTCTCCTGACGCCTGGTGTCTACCAGCACAGGAACTACATGAAGACATTTACAGAAGCAAGCCCTGCTATACAGTGGCAACTAGAAACACTGCAGAAAATTGGAGGCATACACCCTAGTTTAGGAACAGTCAGGGAAGTAGAAGGATTGACAGTCCATCTGAGCGAGAAGTAGACAGAAAAAACTATGGCAGACTTGCTAGGCTCAGTGCCTCAACTGTACACTGACCTCAAGACACAAAAACTGAGAGCTCCTCCATGCTCAGAAAGGGGGCCCTCCACCCAAAGCCCAGAGAGAAGAACAACAACAAAGGAGATAGCTTTTACCCCTGGCAGAAAAGTATCTCCAGTTTGTCTCTAATTTTAATGACGTCCACTGGGTGACAAATTCCTTCTACCAACTTGTGGTGTTCCTGCCACTCTCACACCCAGTGCAACCTCATCCTTCATGCCATCAGAGAAGTGAAACACAAATTTCCCACCTCTGTAAGCACATCAGGTCTACAGAGTAAGATGCAGCTCTGTTTCAGTAAATAAAATTACGGAGAGCATTTGTTTTTGAGGTCTATTAAAAAAATTAATTATTTGTAATATAATATATCAAATAACAGTAATTCAGCATGCAGACATACAAGTCCAAAGCAGACACGCAAACTGCATCCTGATGGCAAAGCCTACACAGCTGGGGCCTAAACCACAGCTGACCAACAAACTGAGTTTTATTTCATAAGAATAACAGTTCTTCTAAACCAGAGTCTCCAGGTCTGTGGTTCCTCACTAAATGCATGAGAAACACCTCATGGACCTTTTCTTTCCACTGCTAGTGAACTCGGGCAGCCCAGTGATGGTCTGCTCTTCCACCATGAGGACATGAACACAAAGCAAACCCCATCAGGTTAAGTATATTTATTCTCAAACATGGTGTTCTTTTCTAAATCTCACAGTGCACCTGGCCCAGTTCACATTTGTCCTCTGGAAAGCAAAGCAGAGAAAGCACACCAAGACCAAGAAAGAACAGCCCTGTCAAATCAGTCCATGACCTTGGCTTACCCCTTTTCTCCCACTTCTCAATCTGGCAGGGATGTCAATCCCAAAAAGCACTGGTAGGATCAAAAGGAGAAGACACAAGACAAGAGAAGTTGGTAGCATCACAAGGAAAAAGTAGAGAAAAAGGAATCCAGCAGAGGGAAAAGGAAGGGTTCCAACTAGCAAAGAGTGATACAGTGCTACAAGGACAGAAAGACCAGTTAAAAGCAGCAAAAAATGAAGTCATCTTAGAAAACTGTCATTCTGACCACTGATGCTCTGTGGCTCCCACATGCTCTCTGAGGCAAGGACTTTATTTTTGGTTTGTGTTTGTACAGTGCCTGGCACCCGGGGCTGCTGAACTGGCAGAAAGAACAATGTGGAGAGTGTCTGCTCTGAGCATAGTGAAGTTTGCATAAAATGAAAGTGGGGAAAAAGTGAGTAAAGGAAATTGTAAGGCTTTGTGAAGTAGTAGCTTCCACAGATTCATTTCTGAGCTGCTCTCAGTGGGGAAAAGCATAGAAGAATCAGAACGATCCAAATGCCAAAAAAATCCTGCCTGGAATGAGCTGGCAAAGAGGGAAACTATAACAAGGAGATGCATTAGCAAATTTTTAATAGTAATAACACCGCTTAGGAGGAATGACTGCCTTTCTGGAGTTTGCAGCCCGTTCATATTTCCACATTGCTGCTTTTATCTGGCCAGAACGTCTCTACTAACTAGAACATGGTTTTGTTTTGTTTTCTAAAGGAAAATAATTGGGGGGAAAACCACAAAAAATGCAGCCAGTGCTTACTCTCCGGATGTACTGTCTCTCATGCTGAAAATATATGGAGGAAAAACAAGAGAACAGAAAAATAAGATAGAGAGGACATGAAAACACAAGAGACCCATGGAAGCAGAACACAGCAGAGCATCATGCAGCAGGGTATGAAACTCAGCAGCTACAGTCAGAAGCAGCTCTTGCATAATAGCATAAGTCACCTTTAGCCGTGGCCACAGATTCACATATTTGCAGCAGCCTGGTTGGGCCTGTGCATCTGCCCGAACTGCCTCATTCCACCTTCCTTTATCTGCCACTTCTCTGCCTTTTTGCCCTACTGTGATTTATACTTCATTCTTAATGCCATTGCCTCTATGCTTCTCTCTGCTTCTGAGATCACTTCTTATCCTGTCCTTGCTACTATCCTGGTGCTGATTATATACAGCAAGTAAGTCAGTCTGCCTCCCACGCCTCTGTCAAATCTGACCACCCTGTATCAGCCAAAATCGCTGGTCCTAATGTCTTAGGCTGCAGGAAGGTAGGACCTGTTGCTGAACACAGAATGGCTTCTGTGTTTGCCTACAAAGGCACGGTACTGCTGGTATCTACTTTCGAGCATTCGAGGGATAGGGGTTCAACCGTGCAAAGGGGACACCGATTGTGGAAATCTGCACACCACCAGTTTTGTACTGCAAGCACTGCTACTCGTGCTTGCCGAACAAAAATAAGATCAAGGCAGAAGCAAAAGATGGTTCGTGTTTCTGTGTGGTCAATAGAAAATAATTCCTCTCTCGCCCCACACCACCCTGAGAGGTGCAAAGGGTTTGCATGGTGGCAGATCTGTTTGTCACCACATCAAGACCAACTCTGCTAGGAAACAGGAAGGTACAGGATGTGGAGATCACCAGAAGAGTGACTGAAAAGACAAAGCTTTTGCTCTCTGTCTCTGGCATCCTTTCCCTCGGGATGTCAGTCCTCCTTTGCCAGCTCTGAGCCGTTTCCATCTCCTCTTTTTGGAAACGGTCAGTATGCCCCAGTGCCACTACAAAGCGCCTTTGCACCTTCCCCCCCCGCCCAGGTACCCAGCCCATATTCACCCAGGGACAAGAGAAACTGGAGTACTTACATTATACCAACTCTGGCTTTTCTGTAAGGACAAAATAAAAGAGAAGCATCAGTTAGCACAGAGATCTTAGGATCAAAAAGCAAGATGGACAGAGAAACTAGGTCCAATCTGGTTTGTATAATTAGTGAAAGTGGGATTAAACAGAAGATTTCAATGGATTTCACAGTGCGGTCTAACACAGTTATTTCCAGCTACAAGAACAAAGAACAAATCCAGAAGCACGAGTCCATAATAGGAAACAGTTCAGGCTAACATGTGCATGTCCACATGCACGCACACGCGCACAAACTCACGGGCGCATGCTGCAATCACGTTTGCAGAACAGCAGCGCCCACTAGCAACAAGGAGCTAATCATAGTCACCGCCAGCCATTTCCTTCAGAGGCTTCATTCTTCCACGTCTGCTGGCTAGGTTGCAAAAATCACATTGCGTTGAACAGACCCTGTGCAAATGAGTCCTCGAAGAACTACCAGGAGGCAGGGAAACAATCTTACTCACAAAAGCCATCAGGCAAAACTTTCAATAGGATTTTAAATTTTAGAAGGGAGACACATACAGAGCCAGAAAAACTGATGAAGAAAATCACTAGAAAATCTAAGCGGGAAAAAAAAGGCTGAGATTTTTTCAGAATTTCGGTGCACAGTGTTTAGTATCATCTGCATATGTGATTTTTTTTTTTGTCCTTAATATGGCATTTCAGATGGTTTGAGAGGACAGGCCACATGTCACTGGAGCGTGTGAAAAAGCTAGCTCAGCTTGGAAAGCCACACTTGGCAATTTTCAGCTGGAGGTGAGATTCATCTGCACAGAGAGAGGAAGAAATAAGCTTCACACTCCCACTCCAGTCAGGCTGGCTTTCCAATGTCAGGGCGCTGAGCAGAAGTGACAGAAAGTGCAGGCAGTCCCCCATTTCAGGGTGGATCCACCTCAGGGCAATGAAGCCTGGGGGCACTGTAGCCTTTCACCACTACGGGTGGCCAGCTACAGTGCATCCTGCCAGGCACATTGTGTGTCAGCAGCCACACAGCTGTGCCCGTCCCCTTCTGCCAACCAGCAGCAGCATGTCTGCATTAGACTTGAGTCTAACAGACAAGGACAGAAGCAATATTTCACTGCATTTCTTTCTTTGAAGTCATCTTGCTTCTGACCTTGGACTGGGAGTATTTTTCACAGCTTTATACCCAGTCTGGAGTATGAAGGAAAACATACTGTTCTCCAACTTGTAACAGAGCCTGTGGAAGTTTCACTCAGAGAGTTAAATTCATGTTCACAGAAACACAGAAACTACCTGCGCTGGGGTAGCCCACTACAGGACCAACACCATACAGGATGTTTCCCATCGGAAAGTAAGCACAAAGTATTAATCAGATCAGACTGGACCACAGATTTCTACAAAGACACGGGGTTGCTGGCACTGCTTTTTCCGTAGACCTCCCTGTTTCCAGTTTCCTGTGCTCTCTGTATGCCACTCCAATAGACAACCTTACTGGCATCTGGATCTCACCCATGCAGCCAACATTTCTGAAGGATCCCTTGCCACCCTGGGCATTTCTGCCAGTTTCACGGCACTGGTCTCTAACAAAAAACCCCACAGGAACATAGTATATGCCACAGGCCAAAATACAAAAGTTTGACTTTAAAAAGAGGAACACTCATAAGGCCTTTCCCCAAATCCTGGGGAAAGGATATGAACTGAAGAACGGAATACACAGTATGGCTCATCCAGTAACCAGAGGAATCTCCTCTTACTTCCTACACTTTTCCATACTTGGCCATATCCTCCATTCATAAAGGGTCTGGTTAAAGCCATACTTCTCTGCAAGTAGGACACGGAAAAAGGTGTTATGCAATTCAGCCTACACTAAAAAAAAAAATTAAAAAAATCGGGGAATTAATCTTAATCCATGTACACACCACCTTGTCCTCAGGAGCACAGGGTCTAGGATGGAGTGATTTTCCTGCAGATTTGTTTTGCCATCTGTCTGCCTTAATGAGCAAAAGGCGTAACTCAGAAATTTCTGGGGAAAAAAAATTCATAATCAAACTATAATTGGCATGGAGAAAACAGAGACACTGCTGTCACTGTGTCTTCTAAATCAGGGTGCACATGTTGTGGTGTCAGCACACTGCAACAGGATTTCGTTCCCCTCTGCTACATTAATTGCAGTCACTCTTTCCCCCCCTCTCACATTTGAATTTCCCCAACCACTTCTCCTCTGTAAAGGAGCTCTGCAGCTCTTCCTTTCTTCAGCTCTTCCATGCAATTACACTGACATCCAAGCCTCATCTTTTGCCTCCACCAAGTGTTCTAAACATGAGAGGATTCCTTCCCCTGACCCCTATGTTTTGCAGGTAGAACACACTACAGAAAGTTCAAAGAGAAGGGAGGCTATCTGAGTCCTTAAATGTCTTCGAATTTATTTACCTTCTTTTTTTTAACTCACTGAGAGTCAGAGTATAGTGGTATGTGAACTGTGAAAATCAAGAGACAGTCTAATGGAGGGGAAAAAGAAAGAAAAAGGAAAAACATATTCTTACTTTGAGCAGGTTAAGTCTGTCATACTGGAAAAAGAAACCATAATTATTAGAACCGAAAAGAGAAAATAAATAAGTAACAGAGGAATGGAGTTGCACACAGAAGTGGAAAAGATGTCACTGATTTGCAGAGACGATGCTGTAGGAGCAGATACCAGAGTTCACAGTTACATGGTGGCTGAAACCAGGAGGAACTTACGAGAAGCTGAAGGTGAAAAACGGGGTATTTTCTCTGAGCCTTTAATTAATACAGTGTTGCCTCTAAATCTTCATGGGTTAATGATCTCCTATTTGAATATTCTGCTATGGAAGATTACAGCTTTACAGTGCAATGGAGATCACGCAGTCTGCTTAACCTGATGCCAAGAGAAGTTTCCAGCTTTAGCATTACTGGGCGCAGGATCACAACTCACTCCTACATGCTACTGCTTCCAGTGGAACAGAAAACTTTTTCCAAGTGAACAACATGTCATAGAGCTCTAGAAGTATCCCTAGGTCCATTTTACAACTGCGGAAACAGAGGCACCGAACCAGTGTGAGGGCAGAGCTTGGAACGGATTCCAAAGCTCTGCCTCCTGACCCGTGTACTTCCAAAACCTATGATATTCACCTGGCTGCTAAATGCCCATGGCCAAATACCTCAAAGAAATTGACAAAATTTATTCCCAAATCTTTCACCTCATTCCAAAACAATCAGAATTTCATGACCTACTACCTAAAGGCGGATTATACCACCCAATGGGAGGGGTAAATGACAAGACACAGCCAAACTCTTCTCATAATCGCACACTGAAAGGACAAGGTGCAACAGTCATAAGCTGCAGTAAGGGAAATTCTATTTGGATAGCAGGAAAATGCCGTTCACAACGAGGGGTTAAGCACTGGAGCAGGGGCTCGACGAGGCCATGGGATCTCCAGTCCTGGAAGTCTGCAAAATGTGGCTGGCCAAGGCTTTAGATCAACCTGATACAACCGCATCATCTCTGCTTTGATCAGGCACTTGACCTAGACATCTTCCGAGATTCCTTCCGACCTAAACTGTTCTACAGTCTCCAGGGCCTAAAATAAAAATTTATGTTTTCCCCTAACCTGATATTTATCTTCACCATTCATTATTAGCTACAGATAGTGGGAAGAATCTGAAGGCTTTGCAATGGAGAAGATATAACTTTTATCCTTGGGCAAGAGCAAAAGAGTTAAAAATACTTATTTCATTGTTGACTGCTAGTAAAAAGGCCTTTTTTGCCGAGTTCATAAAGCTGTTCCAGAAGCAGCAGTGTTTGCCAGTAAAAGCCTAAAGCTGACGCAGGCCTATGGGTGGTTCGGTCCATGTCATACTGGTGGACAGCATGGAAAAGCAAGCTCCAGGAAAGACTTCCTACGGATGTAATCCAGTGCTTAAAAACTCCTGGTGAAGTGCTCCCTCTGATGGCAACACTGCAGCACGACAATTAACACAACAGACAAAAAGAGGGCAAGGGACTTCAAGCAGATCTGTCAGCAATTATATAAACACAGCATCAAACTCATGGGCTCAAGCTGTTTCCTTTCATTAGCGAGACAAGTTGGAAAATTAGACCATTCTTCTTCCAGAAGAGGGGTGGGCAGAGGAGAAGAGGCTGAGAAAGGAGAAATAAAAATCTTTGTCCTTCAGTTCTTTGTTCCTAACCTCTCCCTGTCTTGAACAGATGCCATCCTCCTCTTGTGGAGACAGTCAGGGGGCTTGTCACACCTGAGATTCCTCACTTGTACCAGGGAAAGCCACCTTATGGAGCACAGAGAAGCGATTCAGCCTTCACACTGCTTTAGACTCGCCCTGTGCACAGACCACAGGTGAGCAGAGCAAGAGGCTCAGACGCAGGCTGGCAAGATCCCCTTCCCTCTCTGCATCAGCTTCCTCACAATGGAACTCATCCAAGGTCCGTTTCTCTCGTTACTCTAATTGTCTCAAAGTTGTTGGGTTTTTTCTCTCAGAAAAGCAAGGAGCTGGCTGCAAGCAAATCACAGTACCACTACACACACATTTTATGTATACATCGCTCTGTACCAATGTTCTTGCCGCCAGTCTCTCCTAACAAACCTCTACATAGCTTAGGCAAAGAGCCTCCAGCCTGCCACAGCCTAGCCATGACCTGTCCTGACCCACACACCTCTACTCACCAGCAATCCTTTCAGGACTCTCTGCTACTCCAGACCTGCATTTTCCATAGAACTTCTTTCACACCTGCCACAGTCCTCCTTTGTAGTTATCCAAGCTACAGTTACCAAGCACAAGACAATCTGTCTAAAAAGAGACATAAAGAAGCTTCCAGCAGACACCAGCAATCATGCAAGGTCAGGCTGGTTACAAGAGGCATTATGACCAAGGAAAAACATTAAGCCAGCATGATAGACTTCACTGTTCTCTGAGAACTTGCCTAGAATGAAATCTAAGGCATCAACTGGGGAAAGGCCAAGGCATTGATGTTGTGGATTATGAAGCCATCCAAGCCATTCTGGTTTTAACTTTACTTGTATACACGTGGAAATGCCAACAGCCTGGCACTTTGTGCAATAAGCATCCCATGTGCATTTCTGATTTTTACACTCTTCTGAGGGTAGCACAGAGATGTGAGATCAAATCTCATACGAGCTTATCTCCAATCCAAGCACCCACAGAGGGATCTTCTACTTACTACCTTTCAGAGCGAGCCCATGAATTCTCACAATTCATTTGGGACAGGTCTGTTCTAACAGGTTTAAGCTGGGTTCATTTGAAATCACTGATCTTTAATATTTACATCACACAGGCAAGCGTGCAAGGGCAGTCAGCTGAGATCACTGGCCGCAAAACTACTCTTCATCATAAACGGCAGGTAAGAAGTTGTGGAGCTCAGCTGTTGTTTCTGAAAGGCTTAAAGTAAGAAGGGAGGAAAGAGACACGAGTATGCTACTCTTCAGCCTACCAAAGCCAGCAGCTCACTTCAAGGGAGAGGGAAAGCAAACCTTAAAACAAAGGCTAAAATTAGTTGGAAGTAATTGAAGGAGTGTGATGAACAGGACAGTTCTCACACCATGTGAGCAAATATTAATGAGATGCCAGTGATATAAGTGAAACCAGCTTCCCAGCTACAGGCATTGGGCTGAGCTCTTGCTGACATTCTCGCAGCTGCACCAGGAGAATGCCTTACTGGGGTCACTGCTCACTACCATGGAGCAGGGGAAGGAGTTCTGAGTGATGAGACAATTCTACAGTGGGGGACAGGAGAGAAAAAAGAAGTCTTACTTTGGAGAGGCGCTTGTGTGACTTAATCGGAGAGAAAGCATGCAGGAATGAAAAGAGAGAAATTAAAGAAAGAAGAAAAATTACCTGGCAAATCAAGAGAAGGAAAACCCACAAACCCAAGAGAAAGCATTATATCTCTCCCCCTACCTTGAATTAAAGGCAAGCTTTAGTAGTCACCGTGTTTGGCAAAAATCGCACTCCCGTGGCCTTAAATCGCAGCACTGTACGGGCCAGGGCAACGCAATTCATCTCTGCAATTGCCCCTTACCAAGGACGCCACTTCCCTGACAGAGCATTCCCCAGTGTGGCTACAGACACGGTGTGCCCTGCCTGCAGCCTCCCACCTGCATGGCTTTCCTCTGGGAACAGACTGCAGGCACCACCACGCATGAGGGTGTTCTCCAGTCCTGCAGCCCCAGGGCGGTGTTTGTAGGTTACTCTGCGCACAGGAAGCAAGTCTGACCTCAAGGGCAACCTCGGAACTGACAGATCTCAAATGATTCATCTTGAAAAAACCCTTCGCCCCCTCGTTTGAGCTCACATAATCTCCCCCTTAGTGATGAGCGATCAGTTCAGCCCAGTGAATGTGGGCCAGTGAACCCTGTTTCCTCTACTGACAGTGACCACGAAGGGGAGTGGATGAAGACTTCTTGTGTGCGTGACACAGTCCAGCAATAAATCGGGCACAGATCTAACAACTCATTTCACACAAGCCGTAAGAGTTATGCCTGTGACACTGTGAAGTTACTCAGGCTGAAATACTTCACAAATCTGGAAAAACACAAGTGCTCCTGACAGCTAACTATCTTCTAACATACCACTGACATTAGGATTATAATCATAGGTTATGTTTGGCTCCCAAGGCCCTCGTGTATGTTTCACCAGGTCCCACAGCTCACAGAAAATCAAGAGTCCCCAAACCTGAAACCCCCTTCTTTAGTACAGCAAAGACAAGGCTGATAGTGTTTCTAATACAGTCAAAATACACAATACCTTTCTAGGGAAAGTATCATCTACCCCTGCCAAGATTTTCATGGAATTTGCCAGACAGTCATAATACTGCACCGACAGGAGGCAATGTGCAGAGGATTGGCAAACTGATTCTGTGCAACTTGAAGCTCGTCACAGGGTGTAAGACAGGACTGGAGAAATGCATGGGCCCTTCACAGGCTGTCTGCACAGAGCAACCTTTATTTGTTCCATGACCCTTCGTGATCCAGATGATAAAAAGAATTTGCAACAGCTGATTTTCAAGCTCTTTCTCAAAACCACAGAGCCTCCCAAGGAAACAGGCCCTTAACTGCAAAAAGATTAGCCTGCATAAGCCTTTATGGAACTGCAGTACAAACCATCAGCAACTCATGGACTCAGGCCACTGAAAGGATGACGGAGTTGTGCTGAAGTCTGACTTACGCAAATGGCTCTCGGTTAGAATTTTTAGAAGTGTGACAGGGGAAAAAGCGGGAAAGTTAGACAGAGAATAAAGGCACACGATGAAGCCAGCATATCGCATTAGAGAGTTTAGAACTGGGGACACATGCACATGTTGATCAAAAGTCATTTGCTCGCTCCTCACCTTGGAGTTCTTGGCCCCACTGCGGCCTAACTGAGAGGAACAGCTACGCTGTACACCCTGCTCCGGCGTGGAAGGGGATTTGTCTGACGAGTGGTCTGAGCCTTTTTCCACCATGGTTTCTCCCTGGGAGTCCTGCGGTGTCGGGGACCGGGAGCGTTTGCGCAGGATCGGGGAGCAGGCAGGCGTGCTGCGGTTTGAGTTACTGGCAGTACTGCAGAAAGAACGAAAGAGCAGGGTTAATAATCTTCAGCTCAAACAGAAAGCAACTGCACCCATGCCTTGAGGTGGAGCATTACCCACAGATTTCTCCACTAACACAGCGGACAAATCTGGCTTCCTGAAGCAATGCACCCAATGCCACATGTCCCCGGTAAAATTAGGCAGTAGACAGTTATCATTTACCAGTGGCAAAGGGAACTACAATGGTCTGCCAGTGTCTTTCCCCACCCACTCTTCAATTCCTCTGACCACAGATGAATGCCTACAAGAATGAACTCATTCTCTCCTGTCAGTTATGAGAGTTTAAACTGACGATCTGAGCTTAGAAAACCTAAACTTGTACTCATAAATGAGGGAGATGTCAGTGTGTTCTCGACGCAGTCCCACTCTGTCCCTCCTTTATTTTATTTCAGCAAGCGTAACTATTCTCAACAGGACGTACAAAAATGGAATCACATCTTTTAGGAAACACTCCATTAAAGATTGTCAAAAATGATGGGGCTCTGGGACGGGCGTCATGATGACAGACAATGCAGTCATGTTTTCCTGTTTCACATCATTCTTTCCCACCCCGGTTAGAGCAGAGCATGAAAATGTTTTGTTATAACATAAAAACTTTCAAGACTTCCTTTTTTTAAAAAAAAAAAAAGTTCCCCGTTCATAACAGGGAAAAGCAAGACCTTTAAGAGTTTTATGGAAATTATGAAACATTTCAGGGAATGGAACTTCTCATCCCATATCTTCAGCAAACGCCCTGACACCTAAATCAGAAAGTCAGTTACATACATATTTACACAGAACAGGAAAACTCAGATTTCCTCACTGTTCCTTCTCTTTTGATGCCTCTTCTTCCTGCCAGACCCTTCAAAATACCTCACGCTATATCCGTTTTTCCCTCCGTAACTCATTTCCTTCAGCAGTCAAATCTATTCATGGTTGGCCCAAACATCTTTGAGGCCTTTCCAGCTGGTCCTGTTCAACTCTGCAACCTGCAGGTTACAGTGGAACCTGGGCAGATCCAAGGATGACCTTTGTGCTAACCCTGCCATGCTGAGTTGTTACAGTACCCTGTTATCTTCTGAGCATTAGAAAGCAGACCACATCTGAGCGACAGAAGAGCAGGCAATAGAAAAAGGATGAGGGAATGACAACTGTAAGGGACTGAATTAAAGAAGCCAGTACAACCAAACTCTTCAGGGCTATAACTTAAGCCCAATTACATATAGCAAACTGAAGTTTGCGTCTCACAATGGGATGTAAAGTGAGGTAGTTAAAACGCATCGTTTCCTTTCTGAAAATCTAGAAAAGTTGAACACGTGCCTGATGTTTCATTAATTCTCAGATAAAAATCATATCTACTTCTTACCTCTGAAGATACCAAAAACATTTTACAAATGTTAGTTAGCAGATACAGGTAGATAAAGTAATACACTCCTCCAGTAGTTATCAGGTTTACTTTGGTTTGGTTTAGTACTGGATGAACTGGTCTCATAAATGATCGTCTATTTGCTCACCGCTTGTGTTAACACACAAACGATGAAAGTTTCCCTAAACAATTTGCAGAAAGCACACAGTAAAGTTGCCTATGCAAACATTAACAGAATCAAATTTCACACTCATATACCCAACGAGCTTGCAATTGGCAAGAACAGTAGCATGGCACTTTGCAGAAAACCCTTAAAAGATATTTTCAAGAATATAAAGTGTGGGAGTTCATAGAGATAATGAACAGGCTTGAAAAAATGGGTTTGAAAAATGTTCAGCAAGCAGGAAGAAAGATGGATTAAATTACAGACTCCGCTCTGCTGCCTATTTGTACTTCATAGACCGAGAATCATATAGATATTGAATAACAAAAAGGTGCATGTTCAAAAGCCACCTCACCCCTAAGTTAGCTCCAGTGGAAGATCAGCAGATTCTCCCCCTTAGGTTGTATCTTCACAGTTCAGACCTAACAACGGCACATCTCCCCAGTGAAATATGCCAACAGCATACTGTGTCCTTCCTCTCCCTGGTCAAGACACCGGAATACTGAATACTAACTACATGTACAGCACAACTGTAGCAATATTCATGCTTTAATCCCTCCAAATCATATTTGAAACCAAACAAAAGACTGAAGAAAAGATGATCTGCACCATTCTCCCCAGCAACATTGCCTGCAACAGTCTAGACATATCATGAAGTAAAATTATCAGGGTTTTTTTAGCTTGTTGAAATGTACAAAAGTATGAGGTTTCTTCACAGGCTTACAGCTGATCCAGTTAAAAGGGGTGTTTCACCTTTTCTGTCCCCCTGCTGCTACTTCTGGCTAAACTCCAGACGTACACACTTTTTTAGCAGCTCAGCATAGCTGCATCTAGTGTACCAATTGCAATCAGCAACTACGTGCATGTGCAGAAGGTGCTGTATAAATGGTACTAAGACTTCAAGTCTTAGTACTAGACTTCGCAACACTTCCAGAGTGGAAATGGTTTTGAATTGCCATTCCTATGGTGAAGAACTCTCAATTCTGAGGCTATATTGTTACTGCTTGTGCTGCGTTACTGCTTCTCTGGCATTACATCACATTTCCTAAATCTTGCCCCCAGCATGCTTGACTCAACATAAACCATTGGTTTACGTGAGAGGTCCCCAGAAATACAAGGCAAGAATTTGAAGGCAACGTTCCCGAGTCATGTCTCACTGCGCTAAATTTGATTGAACAGACATATTAGATATTCTTCTCCCAGCTCCACGAAACCTGAGTTTATCGTGCACAACCTCCTTCGCATTTTCAGTTCACGTGAGTTCATACTCACAAGTTTCACTTTGAGTTTCAGCTTCAAGCAACTCTAAAGACCAAGTCAAATTCAGTCAAGGTTCTGCTTGCTTTTGGGTTACAGTTATGAAGGAGCACTGAGGTTTTACTGCTTCTAAAGTAAAGCACAACATTACCAGTTCAAAACAAGGGTACAGCTGCACCGCATGCCTGTGAAACTCGGATAAAACCCACTATAAAGTTCGGTACTCTTTTACCCTATTGTAATCATATGAGAAATGAGACAAATTTTGCCTTTTGCAGACTGCATTAAATACATTAATTTGCAAATACATTAATTTGCTAATTTAATGCTCCAATATGCACACACTCGCATGCAGGCACAGAAGATCCATTCTCAGTTTTCACACTCTCGAGCACACGCATGCTCCAAAACTGGCTCAACACTCCTCGCACAGATAGTGCTAAGCAGTGTGCGGCTATAGAGGCCAATTCAAGCTAATCACCCAAGGTCTTACAAAGCTCCTCGGGTGGGTTTTTTCAGTCACGGCTGAGTAACTACTGCAGCTACACAGAAGCAGCATCAGCACTAACTAGCTTAAAGCTCGCACGCATGCATATGTCCAGGCTCAGTCCACACTACCGTACGTAGCCATACATTTTGGTGCCAGCTCTGCCAAGCGCAATCTCAAGCAGGCTCTGGCCTCCAAGTTTGTTTTCCAGTCACTTAGCATCTCTGGCATGCTTTAAAAAGTAAATCCACCCATACATATTGTGTTAGGTATGTATCACCTTTGCAGAGATACGGAAAAAAAGATGGCTTCGAGGGCGCCTTCTTTGGCTCTCCCTTCAGTCAGTGGCAGAGAGCTGACCAAACTCTGGAGGTCTGCATCCACGTCATACTATCTGATGACTGGGCAGTGCTGAATATTTCTCACGTGAAGGACTCCATGGGTGTGTGCATAACGAAGAACATGAAGAGTCTGTTAACTGAGCCTTTCATCTCTAGCACAGCAGGGATGGGCACAAAAAACGCACGCCTGCAGCTCCGTCCCGCTTGCGTCCCCTTGCCCTGAGCCCCACAAAACTCTCACTGCTCCTGCTCAGCCCCTTAAGTTTGAATCTGACCCAAGGCACAGCCATGACGAACGCTTTCTGCAGTTGCCATAGTGACGAATGCCTGCAATTGAACCAGGAATCAATGCCTGAAATGCCAAAATGGCTTGACCCACTTTGAAAAAAAAATAATAGTAATAAATAATGCTTTACAGACCTAATTGACCAGAGTGCATTCAGGGCCTCACATACCCCTGCAGTGTAGCCTTTAGTAGAAGCAACAGATTAAGTCAGGGACAGAACACAAACAAGCCCACCTAAGCGGCAGCCCCTTGCTCCTAGGTGAAAGCTCTGCATGGAGTACATGAAAGCACAGAAGGCAGAGTACGACTTCCTGGTTTATGTTCATACTGTGCCTAAGAGAAACACCTTGTCTTACGATTGGAGCTGCAGTAAAAATAACATGAGCAAGTGTGACACAGCTAGGAAGAGGCCAAACTCTGTTCAATCACATGGAGGCCAACCCTTGATAACTGGAGCAGCATAGTGAAGAACTGAGCTTTTCTTCACGTGGTGGAAAAAGAACAAACATTTGGCAATACACAGACAAGATACCCGGTCACACCCTACCCTGGATGCTCCACAGAGCAAGGATGCAAGGCAAGATGCAAAAAGGCCAAACTTCCTCCTCCAACAGAATATTTCCTGTAAAGATATGGACCAGCCAGTGAGCAGAGACTTCAGCAAGTAGTAGCTTTTGGGAGAGGCTACAGCTTGTACTCCACAAGCTAATCATGGGATTCTTACAGCTATACAGGAACCCTGAGGACTCTTTGCAATGCTGTAAAGGAGAACTCCACAAGAAACCTGACTTGCTCAAGACTCTTAAATAAATTCTCCATGAATGACATTCAAGCAGCCCTGAATTGACATGAAAGTCTGCCTATCCTACCACATCTTCTGAAATAAATCACTCTGCCTGCCACCACACCACAGCCATCCCTGGGCTTAAGACAAGCACCCTGCAACAGTTCTTTCCCAAATCCCGCAGGCCCCAATAGCCAGCAATCATCCCCCAGACACAATAGTTTGCAGAAGAGCAGTGTCACAGCACCTGCGGCTATGCTGTACAATAGCGGCTTGTTGTTCTCCTCTCAGGTAGTGATAC